TAAATAAACTTTGTAAAAGAAAATGATTTTATGCAAAATTCCAAGCAGGAAAGAAGAAAAAAATATGAGAAAGATGCAGAAGTTTCTTCTTTTTATTGTCCTTTTGTTCTTATTTTTTAATCTATTAATAATCACAATCATTAGGGGGTAAAACAATTTTACAATAGTGATAATGTGTGTAAATGTGGTATAATTACTGTAGTTTTTCCCTGATTGTAAGTATTTATATATAAGAGCTTGTACTATTATTATTGGTAGTGATGGTAGTAGTAGTTGAAAAAGACATGGGTGACCTGAGTCCTACCTGAACTCGGGCCTCGGACAGTCCCAGCCTCTGGCTCAGCTCCTCGCGCATGAAGGCGTCCGGGTAGTGGGTCTCGTCGAACAGCCGCTCCAGCTCGTTCAGCTGCTCTAACGTGAAGTTCGTCCGACTCCTCCTCTGCTTGATCTTCGTTTGCGTCTCGTCCTCGATGGGCTTTGAGTCCTCTTTCCTGTCTTTCACATCCGTGGTGCCTGTTGTTGTTGTTGTTGATGATGATGATGGTTTTATTTACAGACACGAAGAAGAAAGGAGGGAGGGAGTCAGCATCATGGTCGGGGACCTCTAAATGACGTTTTCACGTTTATTTTATTGTTTTAATGGGGCTCGCCTCTATAGAGAGCATTGTTGTGAATTTCGGCTGAAATGAAAATGCTGTCCTTTCAGGTGCAGCATCCGTGGCGCAGATGTTTCCAGCGGTAGGTGTTAAAGAGGGAGAGAGAAAGGATGCCCTCTGATATCAGAGCTCGGATGTTTTGTCGAGCTACATAAAGCTCTTTAATTATTAACCGCTTATAAATATGCAAGGCTGCATGCCTACTGCTGGATGTCTGATACATGCTTGTCGCTGTTCCGCTTTTAAAGCTCGCTGCCCATGACGAGCAGATGTCACTTTTTATTTATTTATTTACTTTTCGAGAAGCCACCCAACTCTGAGATATCTTGCCCATGCCAGTTGTCACATTCTAATCATGCACATGGACAGAAAAGAAACGAAAAAATGCCTTAAAATGTCTAACAAATCGTTGCAATTTTTCCTTTCCCCTCTTTATTTTCCTCCCTTCATTTTAGGGCCTTTTTTTTTTGTTTTTTGATTTTGTTTTGGTTTGTGGTGTTCAACAAGGCCCCTGAATTATTTAGGATAAAGCATAAAAAGAAACAATTCTTCCACTTGGTGAAGCCGGTTTTAGATTCTAATGCAGCATCTTTAATCAGAGTCGCTGTGGCGCCTGCAAGGCTCTGATTACACATCTGGAAACAGATGTTTGTGACGTTTTATTATTGTGTTTTGATTTAATTCATGCTTCTAATTTTTTGATTGATTTTAGAAATATCTACATTAAATAAATGATTTCTGAGCTGAAGTGTTGTTTGTGTAAAAAAATAATAGACAAAAAACTGATTTAAAAAAGGCTGAGCCACTTTGGATACATCTGTGCNCTTTTAATGCGCTGCGTGTTTGAAGCTGTGGGTCGTGGCCCTGCTGGTAATCATCATCAACTTCATTTGTTTCGTTAAATAACATCTCTCTCTCTTTCACTGTCACACACACACAAACACACTACCTTCAAATCCAAAAAAATAACAAATTTGTTTGTTTTGCAGAGCAGCGAGCCCCTCAGATATGTCGTGGGGGGGGCTAATATTAGGCGGGCGCGCGGGATCAATTCCAATTACTCGCCAGTATGTTAAGCAAAGTGAACTACACCGGTTCGGACAGTTATTTCTTCATTAAGGAGCACTCAATGATGCGCTTCACAAATCCCCTAATCTCGTTTCCGTTTTGATTTTTTATTAGAGACAGTGAATAATGACATTTAATTTAGCGGCGCGCCGGCAAGCCAGAGATATTAGTCGTAAGTGAATTAGTGCCTGCTCCTCACCGCGCGCTCATAACTTTCAATTAGATTCACTGACAGCTGCTCGGAGCGCGGCGCGCACAGCCTGCCGCTGCCGCGGCATCGGCCGCGGCAGCGGCAGGCTGTGCGAGCCGCGCGTGAAAACCCGGGAAACCGAGCCGCGTCTGCGGCACGAGGCCTGTTTTGACGTGAGGAAACACACACAGCCACTCTGCTGAGGCTTTATGAACTGCATTCAGACTGTGGGTCTAATGAACACACTGCATCAGCTGTGGCTGATCCTTCATACAGCGTCACAGGCGCGCGCACACAC